CCTTATTTCCCCCCCCCCCCCCCCCCCTCTTTCCCCCTCCTCCTTTCCCCCCCCCCCCCGCCAATTTTCTTTTCCCCCCAAGAGAGCAACAGTTAAGTCTTCAATGTAACTCTTCTTGGCCAAACCCAACATCTTAATCTCTACACTGAACATGCTAGACAGACTGGAGGTGAAGGCAGAATAAGGTGAAATTAAAAACTGAATACTTATTATGAAAGCAAAGCTGAACAGGTTTAGTTAATGGGGTTAAAAAGTATCCAACCATCCTTTTTGCTCACATTCTCACATTCACTTTAGACAGCCAGTTGATAAAAGTATGAGCAACTGCAAAACTTACCTTTTTACACATAGTATAAATTATCTCCAAATTTTTGGAATTTGACAATAAAATATCAGTATCCACAGTGACATAGTTGTGCAATAGAGGCATCATATCTAGAAAGAGAGAAGTAAAAGAGTTAATTTTGAGAATAAAATAAATAAATTTACTGTACAGAATTGCCCTTGCTTTATTTTATAGTCACCCACTAAGCTGATTCATTTGTAATTTTGAAAATTCTATATTTAGTACATGCATAAAGCTGTGACATGTGGATCTGCTGTAAAAATATTTATCGCATTTATTCTGGCCCTCCTCTAAGAATTTCAGGAAAGTGTATAAGACATGATCCCATGTTATGTTCACAAAGACTCCTGATAACGTTTGTACCTCAACTGAGGTTCAGAACCCCAGTATAAACTTCCCTCTCTATCCATTACAAGATATTGAATAATGTAAAGCAAATAAAGGCAAAAGGAAAAATGAAGGTAGATAATATTTAGCTAACTTATTCATAGCAAATTGCATTATTTATTTAGGGTGAAACCTTCATTTTTATATCAGCATGGACCTGTTGCTAGAAAGCTTCTTCTAAGAAAGGAACAACATTTGGCCAATGCATTGGGCATGGATGGGGGGGGGGATTATTTCTTCATTCCAATCTCCCCCCAAGGGGAAGACCAGTGGGAAATTCAGAGAGAGGATCTGAATTAATCTCTGCACCCAGGAAGCTCTATTTGCCCGCTAGGGCCAGCAGACAGATAAAGCCATCGTTACCATGCCATGCCTGACACTACTTCTCCTCCCTCCCATCACCAGAAGCCTTCAACAGGAACAAGAAAACAGCCAAGCCTTCATGAAATCCATTCTTCTGGTGAAAGATATAAAATGGGACTGGGTATCCCAAGAATCCCAGCTTTCTCCCTTGCTGTTTGCTATCTAAATGAAACAATTTACAGTTTTTCTCAATTTACTTCATACACATTTCTCTCTCCCTCTTTTATTGTATCAAGTGGAGCAAGGACCCCTGGATTGTATTTATATAACATAACACTATATATAAAAATAGAATAGTTGTAACAGAGGTTTCTAGTCTTGTGAATGGCATGGGCAAGCTGGAAGTGGGATAACTCTTAAAGTTATCTCTCTCTTAAAGTTAGAAGGATCTTTGAATAACTTTTGAATAGCTCAGAGGGCAAAACCTGAATAGGTCCCTGATTATCCCCCAAATCAGCAAAATCTGACCACAATATACAAATTTGTTCAACCTGGGCATTTTAAATACACACAACTCTACACAGGATTCTTGTGCAAATCTAACCCTGAATTTATAGCACTGGGGAACAAATCAATGTGTTTCCACTAAGACAAATTGACAATTGACAGTCCATTACAACTTCCCTAACCACTGCTAGCCAACATTATTCTACATTCAATTTATTTCTACTATCAATTGGTGATCTTTTCGAGCAAACTACAAAGGTCATTACCTGCAAAGTACTCAAAGCAGTCCTGTTGAAACACTTCATATAAGACACCCAGGAGCTGCCACATTTGGGGTGAAATAAGATGGCATGTCAAGCTGTATGCTAGAGAGAGAATTTCTTCGTAGAACTCTGAAAGGAAGAAAAAACCCCAAGCAAATGGATATAAGAGATACAGAAAGAATACCTACAAATGCCACCTAACCTATTAAAAGTTATTTCAAATGAATTAGGAAAGATCTCTGTAACATATTCTGACAACAAATGTCCCAGGTCTGGTGTGGATGCTAGCACCACATTTATTGCATTGCACAGGCTTGTTTAAGCCTGGAATCAAAATACTGCATTTGGCAGATACCAACAAAGATAGCGGGACAAAAACAAATTTCCCTGACTGTGCAATATGCCCCTAAATTTCCTCTAACATAGAATAAATAATGCCTACAGGTCTGATTTCAGTTTACTGATGTACCTGCTATTATATGTATGCCTACTTCTATTTAAAGCATACCTCAAGATTTTTAGAAGGAAGGCAGGAATGATTTAGAATACAATCAGGAAAGCGTTTAGAAGACAGCTGGTTCTGAGATAAGATTATTTAAACTTAAACTAGTTCTCCTTCTCACTGTAGTACCTGTGTGATCCTAAAATCCACTCTGGAGGATTGAGTCACCTCTGGAGCAGATTATGAGAATCTGTGAATGTGGTGGGGAGGAGTTACCATGAATTACAGCATTCTCTCTCTCCTGTTCCACTAATGGACACCTCTCCTACTCATAGGCACTGACAGTGGGATTCTACCCTCAGTGATATAACAGGGAAAAGATGGGAGAAACCAAGCAATACTTTCCCACTACTGGAGAATTACCCAAAGCCCATCTGGATTCTACAGAACAATTTGAAAGATAAGCAGTCAGCTTTAGGAACAGGCCATTGACAGAGGGTGATGTCATCTTCCTCTAAATCTGTTAGTTCAAGAATAACTCTCAACTTTTTCCCTACAGGAATGATATTTAATGATATTCTTTCACAGGTGGAAAACTGAAGCTAAGAGATAACATCTAAAATCAAAGAGGAAGGTTGTGACTCAACTGTAATTTGAACTGAAATCCCACAGGTAAAGTTCTACATTCTTATCTTTGGTTCCATCATCCCTCCCCTCTCTCCATTCAGAAGTGAATTGGGTACAGAACATGTTGCACTCTAATCATGAATAAATAATACACCACAAATTCATAGTAACTTTGGTTTAAGTCTAATCTAGATGGGAAAAATGGACAAGGAGCTGTATCACTGGTTATAGCAGATTAGAGAATAACTCAATCCTCTGCCATATTAAATAAGAAAGCAAATATTGTCTAGATGGCTTTTCAAAGTACCTATTACATGTTTCTGCAAGACAAGACCAATGATTTGCAGGCAAATGCTCTCCAGCTGTTGAGTTATCTGAAGAAAAGAAAGAAACCACTTAAGTGAAGTTCCTACACCAAAAGACATTTTTTCTTAAATAAGCAACTTTTCTAAAGCAAAGAATTTTCGTAAAGCAAAGAGTCAAACAAAAAGTCCTTCTTATTTAAAATATTTTATATTATTACTAGGTGAAAGTTGCATGCAAAAGTCTCATACAGCTGGTAAGTCTATAGTGCCATCTCCTGGCTTGCACTGTTTACTGGTTTATTCATTTACTAAAAGAATTTCTATACCACTTCTCATTGCAAAAACTCTTGAACCCCGTTTTCAAATGGTTGAGAAGATTCACCTCCTTGTGGTCCTGCACAACAGTAAGGATTGTGTCAATTGTATGCAGGATCCCCATGGCCATAACAGTTTTATCCTCCATTTCTTCATATTCTTCACTTTGAAGAACTTTACCAAAAATCTCTGCCTAAAGAAATTAAATGCAGAACATCAGAGAAACCGACTGACATAGTAATCACAAAATCCTTGCATCAACTTCAAAATCCAGCAATCAAAAATTTGCATTTTGATTAACCCTAATTAGAGGTTTGATTTCCCTCCATGAAACAACATAGTCTTGTTTGTTATTTTTGGATAAACCTGGTATCGTTGCAGCCCACTAACACATCATCCATATTTATGTCATCTTGCATTGGTTTCTGCTGCATTAAGCTTACTGTGCAACACTTAAAACAAAAGGAGAAAAGAAAGAAGAGAACAACAAGGGAGAAAACTGAAAAGATGAATGTGTTCTATGTGTTCTTTGGCACTGTTGCAATTCTGGATAAAAATCTGGATTAAGGAATATTGACTAAGGGATTCATATAAGACAGAGATTTAAGATTTATGGGATTAAACTGTCTGAAAAACAAGTACATGGCTGAAGAGTCAAGCGAGGAAAAGAGGACAACCCAGATGAGGTATTGGAGAAACTTCAGGGGCCAATGATAATTTTTTAACCATTTTCGAAATTAGTACAGAAAACTTTAACGTTTGAAAAGGGTATTCCAAAAGTGAAACAAAGGCAGAGCTGATTACAAATCATTTGCAATATTCTAAAAATACTTCTGAACTGATTAGCTAGCCCTTTTAAAACAAAGTAAGAATGATATTATTTTATTATGTTCAAACTGCAAAACATTTATCTGCCTGTTTAGAATCTAACTGTTAACTTTCTGTCAAACTTGAATATGAATTAAATATTGTCTGGCACTTACTTCAAATCTCACTTCTCTCTCATTTTGGCGTCTTCAGGGATAAGAGGTAGGTTTAACAAGTTTGTTTTTCTCCATTGCAAATGAATAATCTTTTCCTTCTGACAGGAAAATTAAGTCTAGACTAACTTTCAGTAATCTAAAGTGATAATTGGATCATTTCAGGCTGGTTGGTACACCTCCCTTTATAAAAACTTTGCTTGTACAAAATATCCACAAATTAGATATCAAAAGCCTTCATCTGAAAGGGAATTCCTACCCTCACTTACCAGGTGCTGTGTCATTTCCACAGCAATAGTTGCTACTTCTTGGCTGTATTCACAAATCAGCTTCTGAATTACATTGGTAAGATCATCATTCTCAGTCTCTCGAACTACAAGCAGCAGCTCCTGCATAACAGGCCTGATATAGGGCTTAATGTACTCCTTTGCTAAAAAAAAAAAAAAAAAAAAAGGGAAAGAATTAATTCAAACAGATAAAGTGGATTATGAGACAAATATCTGCTTGTCTGAGTCAAGATCCAAATGAGCTCTTAATTGCATTTGGTATCCCTCTTTTGTCTTCCATAATAATGTCCTATATTTCTACCTGTCCACCTGCTTCTTTTTCACTGTTTTTTCTAATGAATTGCATTAACAGGGAATGCTAGATTTGAAACCCGAAAAATCATCCTGTAAGAAAGAGATACAAACCACTTCCATGCTGTTGGCCAAAAACCCTAAATTCATGAATCCATGAAGTCATCAGGAGGACTTACTCTGATATAAATACATTTATCTACATACTACTAAAACTCTCATTATGTTGATCTCTTTCTATCCTCAAAGTAGCCCAAAGGGTGCATTATACTGCAACAATTTTTGAATCAAGGTACCTAAAATCTACTAACTTAAAGAATGTGTAAAAAATCCAGGACCCATTACTCCTGTGGAATTAAAATTTTCACTATGTTCAGACCAGTTTTATTCGCAAAGTTGTGGCTGTTGCAGCATCCCCATGGTCAATTGATCATGATTTCTGATGG